ACAGACACGCTGGTATTGTGACAATTATTTTATTACAGCTGTAGTAATTACTTGGAAATGTCGTAATGTATGGTACTATAACTTGCTTAAAACTTTTACTTATAAGCATTAATACTCACTCATACACAGTATGTATCATTCTCTTATATATTTCGATTTTTCAATTACTGCCTAAGGCCAAATTGAAATGTGGTATAATATTATACTTACGAACTCAAAGAGCTTGCTACAATAGTTTGTCGGTAGATGGTATTTATAGAAATTTGAATTACTGATCCATCGGCAACAGTAGTTTCTATAGCTGGTTTACTGTCACACGAATCACTTAAAGAGTAAATGTAGACCAGGAACTGTAAAGGCACACTACTTAATGGATTCGTTTCTAGCCGAGAAGTAAAGTCTTCAATTTGAAGGGCAACAACATACCATCCTGATGCTCCCGTCGCATTATAAGAAAGAGTGCATGTTTCCTGGAAAAAGATTGAGATCATTCAAGTAAAATTAAACTGCAAACTGAAAGATTTTTCACTTTTAACATAGTATAATTATTCTAAATAAATGTCTTGTATACGTTAATGAGTTAAATGAGACAACAACCGATAGATGAGAATAGCCAAACGACATCTATAGTGTAACATAAAGTCTTGATAGAATGACAGGGTTCCATTTATTACACCAAGTATCTAGTTTGTTAAGCTTATGAATATATGAACTTCACAGAATAACAAAAACAAACGTTTAAGTAATGGCTCAAAACTATATAAAAAAACGAATTGTAATCGCAAAGTCAACTAAAAGGTCAACATACATTCTTCAACGATAGGCTGGTGTTTATACAATGTGTCAATATATTTTTGTGCTCGAGACTGAAAAAGTTGTGAATTATTTTAACAGCGACAATAGATGATTTGTCACCAACATTTTAGTCCACAAATGACAAAGCATAAAAATATAACAAAAGACAACCACTGACATGATATCTTGAAAATTCGACAGCAATCAAACATGACACTTAAAAAATATTCCAATCACTCTTAAAACTATATATTTAGGTGATGACTACCAGTAGAGCTATGTAAATGGTTTGGGGTTATAGCATGTGATATTTGGTATGATAGGTCATTTCTTTATCTTACTGGTGTGATAATAGAAGTTCAGTCTTATAGTATTTTCCATTTGTTTTTAAGTAAATATACATTTATGTAAATGTCATTTTGTATGCTTGATAAGTCATTCCATATTTTGAAATACTCCGGTTTTAAAATCATATATCTCAGTAGCATGAGTTCGAATCCCGGCGAGGGAAGAACAAAAGATTTGCGAAAGCAAATTTTCAGATCTAACATTGTTGGGCTGATGTTTAGACGAATTATATATACAGAATGTATTTTCAGCCTTGTATCACCATCACTGCTGGTGATCCGATGGATGAAATCTGTTGTAGAGTCGTCACTGGTTCAGACGTACTTATAATATAATTATTTCTGTGACTGCATCTTACATTAATTTGTAGGATCCTTTACAATAGATAATTCAGCTGATCTGTAACAATTCCATCTTCATGCCTTATATATCATGTACTGTGTTACGACGCTAGATTAAAAACTGACGAGGAAAGGTAACACCCGGCCACCGAAAGCTTTATTATTGTAGAGCCTAGGTGGTCGAGTGGTCTAGCGCGTCGGGCATAGTGCAAGGCGATTTGGTGCCACGATATCTCAGTAGCATGAGTTCGAATCCCGGCAAGGGAAGAACAAAAAATTTCCGAAAGCAAATTTACAGATCTAACATTGTTGGGCTGATGTTCAGACGAATAATATACAGAATGTATTTTCAGCATTGTGTCACCATCACTGCTGGTGATCCGATGGATAAAATCTGTTGAAGAGTCGTCACTGGTTCAGTCGTATTTATAATACAATTATTTCTGTGACTGCATCTTACATTAATTTGTAGGATCCTTTACAATAGATAATTCAGCTGATCTGTATCAATTCCATCTTCATGCCATATATAGCATGTACTTTGTTACGACGCTAGATTAATAACTGACGAGGAAAGGTAACAACCGGCCACCGAAAGCTTTATTATTGTAGAGCCTAGGTGGTCGAGGGGTCTAGCGCGTCGGGCATAGTGCAAGACGATTTGGTGCCACGATATCTCAGTAGCATGAGTTCGAATCCCGGCGAGGGAAGAACAAAAAATTTGCGAAAGCAAACTTACAGATCTAACATTGTTGGGCTGATGTTTAGACGAATTATATATACATGTATATATAAGACCAAAAAAGTGACAAAGTATATTTTAACAAAACGCAATTGACTAGCAGGTCGAACAACGGATGTTCTTAAACCCTGCTGACTGCCATTGGCGATTGCCAAATAAAATGATCACCAATTGTAATAAAATGGATCTTAAATATTAATTTAATATCAAACAGAAAACAATAAACTTGCGGAAAAGATGGTATAACAAAAGGTGTAAAAATTAGTACACCATATCCGAATTTCGACAATCAATGTCTCTTCAGTGATGTTAGGAATCGAAACGGTATTTGGAAGGCCATATAATTTACCTCAATTTAGGATAGACTCTTGAATTTTGCACCTTATGTTTGCGGTAAACCACAAAATATAAACAAGTTTAAATTGAAAACAACGTTCAAACCTATGATTGCGTTGGATATAAACCGCAATTTTTAAACGTGTGCATGCAAAACAAATTTCTTGGTAAAGGGGTCTAAATACAACACAAACAACATTTTCCAAAAGACCAAAAAAGTGACAAAGTATATTTTAACAAAAAGAATTTGACTAGCAGGTCGAACAACGGATGTTCTTAAACCCTGCTGACTGCCATTGGCGATTGCCAAATAAAATGATCACCAGATGTAACAAAATGGATCTTAAATATTAATTTAATATCAAACAGAAAACAATAAACTTGCGGAAAAGATGGTATACCGCAAACATAAGGTGCAAAAATTAGTACACCATATCCGGATTTCGACAATTAATGTCTCTTCCGTGATGTTAGGAATCGAAACGGTATTTGGAAGGCCATATAATTTACCTCAATTTAGGATAGACTCTTGAATTTTGAAGAGTCGAAATAGGATGAACGGATCATATAAACCCGAAGGCAAATATAATACAAGCCCAAACGAAAAAATATAAACAAGTCTAAATTGAAAACAACGTTCAAACCTATGATTGCGTTGGATAAAAACCGCAATTTTTATACGTGTACATGCAAAACAAATTTCTTGGTAAAGGGGTCTAAATACAGCACAAACAACATTTTCCAAAAGACCAAAAAAGTGAAAAAGTCTATTTTAACAAAACGCAATTGACTAGCAGGTCGAACAACGGATGTTCTTAAACCCTGCTGACTGCCATCGGCGATTGCCAAATAAAATGATCACCAGATGTAACAAAATGGATCTTAAATATTAATTTAATTTAATATCAAACAGAAAACAATAAACTTGCGGAAAAGATGGTATACCGCAAACAAAAGTTGCAAAAATTAGTACACCATATCCGGATTTCGCCAATTAACGTCTCTTCAGTGATGTTAGGTATCGAAACGGTATTTGGAAGGCCATATAATATATATATAAAACGTCTAGAAATTAGTCAACGATCTTTCTCACGAGGTAGCTGAATCATTGCGAGTAACGATACCTGTACACAGTAAAATAAACTATATAAACGCCTAAAAAGTGTACAAGACAACACCAATATTAAAAAAGGAAACATTTAATGTTAGTATCTATAAATATTTCGAATAACATATATCCTTCGTCAGTATGATTATGATGTAAAATGAATCATATCAATATTTTTTGATTTACCTATGAACCATATCAATATTTCGGATAACAGATATCCTTGATCAGTATGATTATGATGTAAAATGAATCATATCAATCTATTCTGATTTAACTGTAACTATCTTTAACTATTTAGCTAATCTGTAATCAATTCCATCTTCATGCCAAATTTATCATGTACTGTGTTTCAACTCTAGATCCTACTGACGAGGAAAGGTAACACTAGGCCACCGAAAGCTGAATTTTTAGTTCAGTCTAGGTTGCCGAGTGGTGTAGCGCTGGACACAGTGCAGGCGGTGTTGTCACAAATAGCATGAGTTCGAATCCCGGAGAGGGAAGAACAAAAATTTGCTTCCGCAAATTTTGCAGATTTAACATTGTTGTGCTGATATTTAGAGTAATTATGAATATAATATGTGTTTTCAGCCGTGTATTAACTTCACTGATCCAATGGATGGATTTGTCGTAGAGTTGTAAACTGTACTTTTTATTTCTCACTCCTACGACAACACCGCCTAGCATTGCGCAGACGCCTTATCCCTTCCTCTAACTATAGCTGATGAAAGCTTTCGTTTCGGGAGGTGTAACCATCTCGTAGGAATTAATCAATGTCATCTAACACAATACACGAAGTATTTTTAAGTGGACAGGAATGAGCATCTACTCATCTCTTCAGATGATTAAATGATCATTATATATTAAGCTTGAAAACTCTGCTGAATAAAAAGAATAGAAGCTGTACATGCATGTATAAGATAGTTGCACCTTCATTATGAAATTAAGTAGTTTGTGGCACTGTGGTTTTTTATATGTAAATGAAGGACTGTTTAGAAACTACACATTATCCGATGGAGGTAGTCACATTCCTGTTTAGTTCATGTGTCAGAGAAAGAATCGAGATTAGTTTGAGAACAAGTCTAATATGATTTTTTTATAAAATGATATAAGTTAATGGTAAGCACAAATAATGTATTAAATTTTTCATATCTGGTTTGAATAAAATTCCCTTCATTGATTATTTAAACAATATTTAACAATTACAACAAAAATATCAAACTTAAACAGAAACGTGCAATTGATACGTTAACAATCAACAATTCTTAAAAACGAAAATGTCAATAAAGGCACATGATATTGACAAACTCTAAACTGAAATATACCTCACCCAGTATAGAGTTACTTAGACCATGGCAAGCATCTCCGCATTCATTAACTCCCGACGAACTGGTTGCCCATCGACACTTTACAAAATCGCCATCTTCATCTATAACTGAAATCAGATGTTGCCAGTATAAACAAATATAAACTCATCAAAACAAGATCACCCATTTAAATACTAAGAAACTCATTTTTCGTTAGGTAATTTTTAACATATTTACCATAAGATTTAGTTTGGTAACTTATCGTTCAAACGTATAAATGTTTTCATTTTTCTTCAATTATTAAGCCATACTTTTTAGAAACGGCAATATATTTTATATTCCTTGTCGTCATGGGATAATGAGCTTTTTAGACTAAACGTTGCCATTTTACACAAACTACCTCTGTAAATCATAAACGTAATTACAGGGTGGTTCAATTAACCTACTTAAAATACGGGGCTCTACATCACATATTATAGCGAAACCATTGTATTTGAATATTCTGGAAAGTCTGTAAGTAAATTACCTGGAATTTTCATTGAATACGAACAACCTTGCTTCAGTCTAACAATTGGTTGCATAGAACAAATTGGTGGAGAATTGATAAGTCCATTATCCGAACGAATGGTTAAGTTTGCAGTTGCCATCAATGACCAGCTGCTTCCACTTTCTACAAGAGAGATCCAGGCAGAGCCTGCGTACCTGAAAACAAAGTGTGGTGTCAAAAATCATATTATGTTAAATATGCAGTTTTAAATTTAATATTCGTTCTTTTGTAAAGATATTTACAACAAATATTTTTTTTCAGATGGCGTATACGTCAAGAAAACTTTTTTGTTTAGTTGTTTTCTCCTTTGATTGATATAATTATTATAATGTTTATTCCACTTTCTACAAGAGCGATCCAGAAACAGCGTATATATTAAGATAGCAGTTGTGTTTAGTTCTTTCCTCCTTTTTTAAATCGACGAAAAGATTGATATGATTTTTATAATGATAATTCTTAACGTCGAGATAAAAACAAACTTTGAAAGTTTCCAACTTAGGTAATAAAACCGAAAAATTGTGTTCCATGTCTTTAAACAAAAACTTCTATTATCTAGCAAGCAAGTAAACACATTTAACAATTTTAAAGATGAAGAAATACTTGATTAAGATTGACTACATTCCTTCTACAGTAAGAAACCTGAAACCTTACTTACAGGAAATTTCCGTCGTTCTACTTAATAAATTATGGACATTCCTAAGCCTTCAAAAATAACATCATCGTAATGTCTTTACGTCAGCAAGTGAAACAGACAAAAACTTGTTTACAACAGCGATATATGAGTGAAAAAGTTTAACTATTAAGCTTTATCATAAGAACATATAGAGGGAACTGTGTTGGAATTATGATTCCCCTTGCAGGAGTTTAATTGACATTGCATTTCACAGTTATATCATGCAAAAAGCTAACACTTTTAAAAATGAAACTAGAGGCTCTCCGGAGGCTGTGTCGCTCACCTGATTCTACTTTGGTTTTGAAAATCATGTAAAAATAGATTAAAATCATAACAGATACCCTAATAATGATTGAGGCAAAATTTGGTTTAATATTGGCCTCGTAATTTAATAAAAAATCCTGGTGGCCTTCTTGAACAGTAAATCGGCAACAAAGTAGCAACACTTCATGCACCTCATGAAGAACATTTATGCCATGCTTGGTTTCATGCCATTTAGTGCTCCTCTAGAAGAAGCATTTGTATGTATTTCTCATAGGGTCTTATGTTAAACTAAGTCCCCTGCTGGCGGTCATCTTGGATGATGGTTCGGCTACAAAGTAACAACACTTGGTCAGCACCTCATTAGGAACTTTCATGCCATGTTTGGTTTTATTCTAGTCAGTGGTTCTCTAAAAGAAAACATTTGTATGTATTTCCAATAGGGTCCTATGTTAAACTAAGTCCCTCTCTGGCGGTCATCTTGGATGATAAATCGACTTCAAAGTTACAACACTTTGTCAACACCTCATAAGGAACATTCATGCCATGTTTGATTTCATTCCATTCAGTGGTTCTCTATAAGAAGACATTTGTATGTATTGTCCATAAGGTCCTATGATAAAACGAAGTTCCCCGCTGGCGGCCATCTTGGATGATTAATCGCCTACAAAGTTACAACACTTGGTCACCACCTCATAAGGAACATTCATGCCATGTTTTATTTCATTCCATTTAGTGGTTCTCTAAAAGAAGACATTTGTATGTATTTCCCATAGGGTCCTATGTTAAACTAAGTCCCTCTCTGGTGGCCATCTTGGATGATGTATCGGCTTCAAAGTAACAACACTTGATCAGCACCTCATAAGGAACATTCATGCCATGTTTGGTTTCATTCCATTTAGTGGTTCCCTACAAGAAGACATTTGTATGTATTGTCCATAGGGTCCTATGTTAAACGAAGTCCCCCACTGGCGGCCATTTTGGATGATTGATCGCCTACAAAGTTACAACACTTGGTCAGCACCTCATAAGGAAAATTCATGCCATGTTTGGTTTCATTTCATTCAGTGGTTCTCTAAAAGAAGACATTTGTATGTATTGTCCATAGAGCTAAAAAGATGTCGAGATCATACGTCGTCTATCAACATATTTCAGACCATCAAAAGAAGCATTTCATTTTTAATATTATCGTAAAATGAAGAAAAAAGAAACAAAAGGAGCATTGCTATATTACAAGAAAAAGAAGAAACTGAATATACACAAATAGAAAAAAAAACATTGGCAAAAATGAAAATAGAAAATAGAAAAAAAGATAGACATCGAATGACATGGCAATATTCTTTTAAGCGATATTAGAGGAAAGAGGTAGTGTGAGTTTTCCCCAGCATTCGTTTCTGAATCAAACATTCATGAAATTGAAACAAATACTGAATAACATACGAAAAAGGTTTCAATTCATTTTGAATACATTCATCACATCAAATTGTTTTTGTTTGCTAAACATTACTGTTGGAGGCAATTATGACTAGAAATTACAAACTGTGCATGTGTTTTCAAAGTTTTGGTGCAGAGACCATCGTTATCCAAATTGCAATAATTTGTATCTGTCTTTTTTAATCAACTTTAAAAAAATATATACTTAAACGTTTTCATAACCCATCAAAACTGCATTTTCAGCCATTTATAGACATTAACAATTAGTTTGGTCACATGTTTAAATTACGCCAAAATGTTGTTAGATAAAGGCAACAGCAGTATACCGCTGTTTGAAACTCATAAATCGATAGAGATAAAAACAAATCCGGGTTTCAAACTAAAACTGAGGGAAACGAATCAAATATAAGAGGAGAACAACGACACAACAAAAACACAACATTTAAATGTAACACACGCAGAAACGAACTATAATATAACAATGGCCATTTTCCTGACTTGGTACAGGACATTTTAAGAAAAAAATGGTGGGTTGAACCTGGTTTTGTGGCATGCCAAACCTCCCGCTTTTATGGCAATGTTAAATATAACATTAAGATGACAACATTACATGACATGACTACAATACAAATAAATGGGAGAACATATAGGACAAAGAAACATACGAATAATAGCTAACAAAAGGTACAAGGTTTAGAATTTAATACGCCAGACGTGCGTCTCGTCCACACAAGACTAACCAGTGACGCTTAGATGAAAAAAATTTGAAAGCCAAAACAAGTACAAAGCTGAAGAGCACCGAGGACCAAAACTTCCGAAAAGTTGCGCCTAACACGGCCAGGGTTTTCTGGTTTTTGTTAGAAACTTTTTTTTAAAAAGTACAAAAACGAAGCTAAGATACTGTGATTTTTAAGAAAAAAAGAATGAAAAACATTTGCAAAATTGACCAGGTGTAAAATATATTCAAGGGAAATTGACCAAACTTCTTTCAATTTTGTGAACTTTTCTTGTGCTTATTTGAACTTGTTTGGAAATAAAACTATAAATAAAATGGTCAAAATAAGATGATTAATTCAACACTTATTTTTTTTTTTTTTTTTTTGAGAAAAAAAATAATAGAAATTTGGATGACAATTTTTCGAATTTATCAATGCATCAGAAAAAGATTGTACATTCTTTGGAACAACGTTAAAATCCTCTTTTTATTGGAAACGTCATGTTACTCTCAGTGGTATCAATATTGTGCCCAACGTCACTCATAAGCGTGTAAAAGTTACTATTTGAGGTATGTGTAAACTTAGTCTAAAATTTTTGATGTTAGATCTACAAATGATTTTTGCGACACCCCCTTCACTGCATATAGCGCCTTTTTATCCCTTGGACAACTAGGCAATTTGCCTTCGTTAGTCGAGTAATGCCTTTCTATGTAGGTGTTGTATAGGGTTTGGTGTATAGTGTCATGTAGGTGGTATACCTTACTGATCAGCTATTTTTATGCGTCGTATTGGATGATAACACTTACCAGTCAGTCACAATGATATCATTTTATTATATACGTCCTACTCTATTGGAAAAATTTTATAATAATTCTCCATCGGATAACTAGGCCTTGGATTATGCAGCCTGTGGACTTATACAACAAATCGCATTTACGCACCCCTGCTACTGTAAATTTGCGTATCTATAATTGTTTGGCAAAATATCAAACGAAGTATACGTGATTAGAGTTGTAACAAACCAAGGTTAATCGTATTTTTTATTATTTACGTCGTGACATCCAAAAACACATGCTCATTAACATTCTGTAATTGCACAGTGAGTAAGGTTGTCCTTCGAGAGAATGTTTTGAGATGGTGATTTGGTCCTGATCGCTGTTGGTATGATTCTTTACATTTTTCGGGATGTTAATAAAACAACAATTGTGCAGATGACTAGTCTTGGTTCCCAATTCACACATTTTGACTTCTGGATACCAATAATGGTCACATTAACCAATTGTGTCTGTTTAGGTAGCACAACCTATTTTGTCTATTTTGTCCGTATAACGGAACTATCAACACCTGTCATAAAAGTGGAAGGTCTATCTAGCTATAAAACCAGGTTTAACCCACCATATTTTTCTATTCGTTCCGTAATTTAATATAGTCTAACGTTCGATTTTGTCAGGTTGTAAGGACTTCTTCCTTTTTTAATTTACCTTGGACCTCGGTATTTTTGTTAATATCTTTTTCTTTATCAGTACTTCGTGCAGTTTATTTCGACCGGGGTTTTTTTTATTGCAAAGGTCGTGCAAATTTGCTAAATCAAATGAATTTCTACGTCTCAATTCTGTGTTAGCACTACGTGTCTTCTGGATTTCGTTGTAGCAGTGTATTGATAAATGAATGAACTACCATGAAATTGTTTTGGGGGCAGAGAAAGGTCGAAAACATAATCACATTGATTAAAACAGCATTAACTTCTGCTGCATTTGATACACTGCAAAATATGAACAGGTATTGTTCTAAGCTCACCTGGCCCAAGGGACAATTAGAGCTAATATTATCACTTGACATTCGTAATCGTCGTGGTTGATTTAAAAAAATCTTCAACATCTTAAACTATTGGACCAATTGTTATCAAACTTAACATCAATGTTCCTTAGGAAATCTAGGTTACAAAACATCCACCAATATACATGGTTGCTGTTTGTAAAAACAAATTTAACAGGTAAAACTGCAGTTTTCGGTTTC